TGTATATGTCTGTGATGGTAGGGAGGCTGACTCCAACAGACATACAGTATGTGCAGCCTTCACCACTCTCTGCAAAGCTTTTCTTTCTGCAGCTGTGCAGCCTCCATGCCACACGTTGATGCTAGAGCACAGGATGCTCTCCACTGCACACCTTTAGAAGGAGGTGAGGACTGAGCTTCCCAGACCAGTTCATCTCAGCATTCTGAGGAAGTAGAGTCTCTGATGAGCTTTCTTGATCAGGCTGGTGGTGTTGTTGCCCCAGCTGAGGTTGTCATTCATGTTTACACCCAAGTACTTGTAGCTGGAGACCACTTCCACTGCAGATCCTCTTATGTTCAGGGGGGTGTAGGTGTGTTTGTTCCTTCTGAAGTCCAAAATCATATCATTTGTCTTCTTCACATTGATGTGAAGGTAGTTCTCTTTGCACCAGCTCTCCAGGTGTTCCACCTCTTGCCTGTAGCTGGACTCATCATTGTTTGTGATGCATCCCACCACCACTATATCATCTGCAAACTTTACAATGTGACAGCCTGGATGGGTAGCTGCACAGTTATACATGAGCAGGGAAGGTCAATTATGGTTGACTATGTTGGAGAAAAGAGCCAAAAGGGGGCTAGGGTCTCTGCCTCAGGAGCAGGACCTGCCAATAAAACACTGGTAGTAAACAATCTTGCCTTCAGTGCCACCGAAGAATCTCTACCGAAGCAGAGTAAACAGTGGGGGCTCAACACACATCCCTGAGGAGAGCCAGTGCTGAGGGTTATGGTGGAGGAGGAGAAGTTGCAGATCATCACAAACTGTGGTCTGTTTGTAAAGAAGTCTAGTACCCAGTTGCAAATGGAGGGGCTTAGTCCTAGTGTGAGTAGTTTGTCCATCAGGGTTTGGGGGATCATGGTGTTGAAGGCAGATGTGAAGTCCACAAAGCATACGGACGTAAGAGTTTTTCTGCTCCAGGTGGTTGAGCGCAGTGTGGACCACAGAGGAGATGGCATCCTTTGTTGATCGGTTCTCACGGTATGCATACTGATGAGGGTCCTTGTTGATGTTGATGGTTGTTTTGATGTGAGTCATGACCAATTTTTTGAATCATTTAGCGACTATCAGGGTGAGGGCCACTGGCCGATAGTCATTCAGACCAGTCACTTTACAACTTTTTGGGACTGGGATGATGGTGGCTGTCTTCAGGCAGGTGGGAACTATCTCCAGAGTAAGTGAGGTGTTAAAGATGTCTGCCAGCACCTTGCAGAGCTGATCGGCACATTTTTTCAACACTTTTCTGGGGATGTTGTCTGGGCCGGTTGCCTTGTGTGGATTAATCCTCCTGAACGTACTCCTTACTTCTGCTGAGGTCATGCTGAGATGATCTTCATCCGGTGGTGAGGAGAGTCTGGTGCTGGGTGGTCTGTTCAGGCCTTCAAAGCATGCATAGAACTTGTTGAGGGCATCAGGCAGAGATGGGTCTTTGGGGCATTGTTCGCTCCTTCCTTTATAATCTGTTATGCACTTAATGCCCCTTCACATGCTCTTAGGGTCTTGTGAGATGACTTGACCCTCGATCCTCTTTGCATATGTGGCCTTGGCCTTCTTAATACCAGCAACCAGCACTTTCCTTATCCTACTCAGCTCGGCTGAGCTTCCAGACCTGAAGGCAGTGTTCATGGCTTCTAGCAGGGTGTGCACCTCTGCATTCAGCCAATGTTTTCTGTTTGGGCAGCTTTTAACATATCTGATAGTGGAGATGGTGTCAGTACATGTACTAATGTAACCCAAAACTGAGGATGCATATTGGTCCAGATCAAGCAATCCTCCATTTTCAGCAGCTTCTCTGAAAACCTGCCAGTCTGTTCGATCAAAACAATCTCTCAGTATGGGGCCACTGTCCTGGATCCAACATTTAACTTTCTTTTGTACTGGACTGGAGCATCTCAGTGGGGACATGTAAGCAGGAGCCAGGAAGATTGAGATGTGGTCTGACAGTACTAGGTGGGAGCGGGGTTCGGCTTTGTATGCATATTTTACGTTCGTGTAAACACGGTCCAGTGTGTAGTCTCTACATGTTTGTATGCACACATGCTGGTAGAAGCTTGGGAGACAATCTTTTAGATTCATGTGATTAAAGTCTCCGGCTACCACGTAGAGAGTTTCAGGGTGTTTGTTCTGTAGCAAACTGATTATATCATGAAGTTCTTGTAAGGCGTCATTAGCATTAGCATACGGAGGAATGTAAATAACTGTGATGAAGTCACTGTGAACTCGCGGGGTAGATAATGTGGCCGACATTTTACTGTTAGTTGTGCCAAAGCCTTCGAGCATGAGCTATTTACAACAGTACAGTTCGTGTACCAACTTTTACTCACGTAAATTCACATTCCGCCTCCCCGTGATTTCCCCGTTAGCTCGCTGCAGCAGTCCGCTCGAAAAAAAAGTCTGTCATCCAGCTGGAAGACTGTATTTGGCGTTTTGCTTGTAATCCACGTTTCTGTGAGACAAAGCACCGCACACTTCATCATCTCTTCTAAAACGCCTGCTCTCAGACGAAGCAATTCCATCTTGTTGTCCAAAGAGCAGACGTTCGACAGAAAGGGAGACGGCATCTGGAGTTTTCCAGCTTTAGCATTACCTCGTAGCCTCACCATAACCCCTGCCCGGCATCCTCTCCTCATAAAACGGGAGCAGCGCTTCCTCCTCTGCCCATTGGAATGCCTGCTGCAGCTTCCAGGTAGATGACTTTGAGTTCTACATTCTGCCGAACGTAGTTTTGAGTTTGTTGATGATATCCAATATATTCCAGATCTCTCTTGTAAACGAGTCCCCGAGGCTCAATGGAATTTACCTGTCTAAATAAAGGTTGAATGAAAAATTTTGTGGCAAATCCGCTCTGATTTTCATCAATTTGGTTCGGCTATAGTTCACACGCATAAATCGTCCGAAGTCAGGCACAGAGTCAATATCAAAACTTCTAAAAACTGGGATAGTTCCGGGAGCCTGTGAAGCTGCAACTGCTCTGAGCGCGGCGAGGACAGAGATGGAGGAGGATGACTCGCTTTGGTGACCCCTGTAGAGAAACAAGCTGAAAGAACAAAAGTTTTCTCTGACCACAGAACTGGTTTACACTTTGCCTCAGTTCATTTTAAATTATCTTGAACCTAGCTAAAACTGTCTTTTGTGGATGGTTTTCACATATGGCTTTTATTTGTTTATTTCTCATGACAGAGCTTTAACCTGTATTTGTGAAAGGTGCTGTGAACGGTGTTTACAGAATTATTTGTGGACGTTGCTGAGCCCACACAGTCATCCTCCATAACAGGATCAGACCTGTTTTTAATGCATTGGCTCCTGAGGACCCAAAGATCACAAGTATCTAAAACTGGCTTTTAGCTAGGTTCTTTGTTCTTTCTCAAGATTCTTGAAATCTTTTGATAAACTTTAAATCAGTGTAAGCTGGAGACATCTTCCTAGTTTTTCACTGAGTAGCATTGTTTCTAAATTGTTCCATTTTAAGAAAGTTTTTTTTTAAGAAAGTGGTTAACCTCTACCCATTTTCACTTTATTTACTTCCCAAAAATGTTCAGTTTTCTAACCAGTCCTCTTACTGACCTGTTATCAACTGACATAATCAGTTGCAAAATACACTTCGAAGGTTAGGTTAGGTTAGGTTAGGTTAGGTTTATTTTGTCATATGCAAAATCAACACAAGGTCAACAATGCAATGAAATGCTTAGGACGAGAAGAACCGTCTCGACTCACCAAACAAACAAACAAAAAACAACAACAAGAAATATCAAAGGATGCAGCAAAAATACTAAAAACATACTAAAAATACTACTAACATAGTAAAAAACATTTAAACACTACTAAAATACTAAAAACAAGGCGCCAAAGTTGAAAAAGAAACAGTGTGATTCGGTTAGCAGTGAGGTTCTTTCAACATCATGGTTCTGTTCTGTTAGCGGCATGGTTTTGTTAGCAGGTCCAGTCAGTAGCTTGATGGTAATAAGGACCGCACTAACTTCCCACGGATCCTTATACTGTGTAATTTTAATGGCTTTTGATTCTTTTGACTCAAAATTTTTGATGTGTTGTTCCTATCAAATTCAAAATAACCTTGTTTTTAAAAAAGGTCCATTAAGTTTAAATTAATTATTAAATAATTTAAAGTTTTGCACATTTTTACACAACATCCACACTTTTTTTTTTAGAATTAGTGTTGTAGTCTTTCATTAGCAATGTCAAAATGGACATCAGAAGAAAAAAAAAGTTACCCAACACTTTTTCTATACACTTTGTAGATTTTAAAACCAAAACTAAAACCATAGTGAGTGTAATATTTTGCACATTATATGACCTGCTGTTGGATATTTTATAGCACTCCGGGGAAAAAATGAAATGTTTCTCCAATGGGTGTCAGCACTCTATTATCCCGACAGTTTAACTGCACGAGGTCCTCCTGAGATTCCTTCCCCAGATTTAGCTGCAGATGCTGCTCAACCTGTTGAAGACATAAAGCACTGCTGACAGAGTTGCTTACAGGCACAACGAGAGTGCAGGAAGACGATGAATCATTTGTGCAACAAACCATAAGTGGAATGACCCAGACAGAATCCACAATTACTCAAGAAGAGTCTGGCAGCAGGTCGACACAGGAACTGACTAAATATTTCCGCTTCTAATTGTGCTGGTAGACAAGTGAGCAAACTAACGCAGCAGGTGACCCAGTTTTTCACAGCAGCATTAATAGATTAAAGTTGATCTTAAATAGAAACTGTGTTGGTGGTGCTCATCTTAGATCGCATCTTGTGTGAACTGAAGCTCGGCGCTATGAATGCACTGTGCTGCTTTGTGTGCGTTAAGGTTTTGAATTTCTAAATGCAACATCTGTCTTTTTAAATGGAAAAATAGTTTGGCGTAAAAAAAACCAACTAAATAAGTAGATTATAAAGCATTCACAGATGCAGCAAATGTAGTCGGTGTGTAATCGTGCTGCATTGCATGTTTTTCAGGTGCTGAACGTCAGTGTGATGGAGGGGGAGCAGGTGACGGTGGAGGACACAGGTGGTCAAGAACCTCTCATCCTGGCCAACGAGTCAGTCTTGATGAGGGGCCTTGTTCTGCGCAGCTGGAGCAACCAGATCTCGATCCGTTTCCGAAGCAATCAGCGACTGAATTCAGGATTCCTCCTCCTGCTGCGTTATCAAGGTAAGTTAAGTTTTTCTAAGCTTGATCAGTCCAGCAGTTCTTACACGGGTCTTGATCCAAATGGACTTATGGAGTTGGGAACATTGGAGAAAAATTTTGGATCTGAACAGAACTTGTAATTATTAATTTGTATTTTTTCTTTATTTGTCTGCGGCTGCTGACTTAGGTCGCTATCTATTCAAAAACATCCAACTTAATGACAATTACTTGTTGAAAATTTATTTTTTTCTCTCACATTTCAATTGAATGTTGTGAAATTGGCATATAAAATGACCTAAACATAATTTATTGCTCATAAAATAAGAAAATTACTATTTAAAAACAACACAATAGTGTAAATTTGTGAAAATGAATGACAAAAGACATTTGATGTTTGTGTCAAATTTGTAAAAATGACTTTTTTCATGGGCAGCACGGTGCTGCAGTTGGTAGAGCTGCTGCATCTCAGCGAGCAGGTCACCCCGGTTCAAATCCCGGTCCGGAGGACATTCTTGGTGGAGTTTGCATGTTCTCTCCGTGCATGCGTGGGTTTCCTCCGGGTACTCCAGTTTCCTCCCACAGACCAAAAACATGCATATTAGGCTGATTGGTAGCTCTAAATTGTCCCTAGGTGTGAGTGAGAGAGTGAATGGTTGTTTGTCACATTTGTCTCTATGTGTCCCTGTGATGGACTGGAGACCTGTCCAGGTGTCCCCTGCCTCTTATACAGTGATGGTTGGACATGGGCACCAGTGACTCCCGCGACCCAAAAAGGAAGAAGCGGGTAAAGATAATGGATGGATGGATGGATGGACTTTTTTTCATTCTTCAGCTCTTAAGGGGTTGAATTAACTTTAATAATAAATTGTAAAATGTGTTTTTGGATTTAAATTTACTTTGTTATTGTTAGGTAACACCATGACCATCATAGTTTGAGTTAACTTGGATTAAATGTACCACTTGTAAATCTCATTTTAATTTATGACTCAATGAGTGATCAGTTTTGCTGCTTTATAAAACACAAATTGTGTTAAACAGACAAACTGAAATTTCCCATTAAAACTTATAACTTAAGTTGTAAAATGGAAAAATTGCCAATCTGAGTCAGTGTTGGGTAATTATAAGTGAATGAACGATTCTTAAAAGTGTAACTGCTGAGGGTAGCAACATATTTCTGTGTATTTTTTGCTTTTACCAAACAATGACCCCCTTTTGCAGTTCTTTGTGCACTTTGTTATAAAGTACAAACTAAAGTAAGTTCTCAATCGTCATCGTATAACATATTTTATAGTTTCTAGTCTGCAAATCTGCTGGCTAATAGCAATGAGGACAGAATCGACGTCTACTTTAGACATCTTAATAATGGATTATTCGTTCATTCAACCTTTATTTATACCGGTTAGTTCCCATTGAGCCTTGAGGACTGATTTACAAGAGAGACCTGTTACATACAAACATACAATGTAAATGAGGAAAAGAGAACACGAGGGTGAAGGAAGTAAAAAAAAAAAAAAAACATATCTCACACCATGTCCTGGCAGGGGCACAGTGTGAAAGTTTCAAAAAAGACCTCGCAACATAAACAGTGACATACAATGACATCATAATATATTTATCCATGAGGAAGTCAACAAAGGCGGTGAGTTGTCCGTGGACACTACCAGAAAGTTCCATAGTCCTGATAAGATGGCACAGTGTCTATCAGCGGCACAGTTCTGATAAGGCTCACAGATGTCCTCGGGAGAGGGGGGTAGGAGGAGGAGCAGCAGAGTGTCATTATTCACATAACCTCTGGGAGAATTTGAGATAGCTGGCCTATTCAAGGCCAAGCGAGGTAGCCAGATTTGAGAACATTTGTTTTGGGACAGGCAGACTGCTTGATTTTTTAATGACTGCCTTTACAAGTTCTACTGGTACTTAGGAATGGTGAATCCAAAACAGCCAGATTTGTGGTCACTCCGCCGGGCCGCGCTTATAGCCTTCCCCGAGGTCAAATCCTTCATGCCAATGAGTTCCAGAAGCCACAAATGGTCTACGATTCGCAGGAATTGCATCCAGCTTACGGCTTAGCTCGAAAAGCAATAGAGTCTGGGCACACCTTCCTTTACAAATGGCAGACATCTTCAAAATTGCCAGATCTGCTGCCAACATCTTCCGAATTTGTTGATAAGTCAGAAACTCACCGATTCCAAAAAGCAAAAATCCCGCTATCATAAATCCAATATGTACACGTCTTCTACGTCCTCATCGGACAATACAGAGAGACACACCATCTTCCACTGGCTCCAGGAATCCATGGTGTATCCCAAAGCGAATGTCCCTTCAAGGCATGAGGGCTCTCCTTCACCTTGTATTCCCGTCAAGAAAATGTTATCCGTTGTGTTGAGAGACCAGCTGACCAAATCCATGATTTACAGTTTAGAAGATATGTTTAGAGAGGCTCTGAAAAAGGTTCACAGGACAAAAGAGCAAAAAGCAGGAGGGAGGCAGGAGTGGGTGAAGTGACCGTCTTCATCGAGAGCAAGCAGTAAGTGATTAGATCAAACATATGGAGCTGAAAGCAAACAGTCAGCCAAGCGGTTGGAGTTTTATTAATAATCTTGGTAACAAATGGCATCTGTATAGTTGTTTGCAGTGTTATCTTACACATCAAACTTTCCTTAGAGAGTCTGTTTCAGCTCAGTCCAAAGCTGGCAGTTTAATATCACTGGTGCTGTTGGAGCTGTGCTCCGCCTGCAGGCATTTATTCAAATCTAAAGTACGAGTATTTGCAGCTGACAGACTCTTATTATCACCTTGGCACAGTGTTATTTGTTCGCTGATAGTTTTTTTTTTTTTTTAAGTTTATTTCCTTCTACAAATCTAAGATAACCAGCAAGCTTTCACAACGTAAACATTGTCCTTTCTATCATCTACCTCGCTAAAAGCACACATATTCAGTGAGTCTGACACTGACTCCCTGCAGAGGAGCAACATATTCAGTAAACACAATGCATCAAGCTTTTTCTTTGATTTTTGTTTCTAATGTTGCATTGTTGATGAAACACATAAATGTCAACACTAACCTAGTAATTAGTTTATTTAGTTCATGATTACTATAACTAATAATGTGTTATTGCAGGTATGAGTATGTGCCTATCTGCACAGTTAGAGATGCTTATTTTAGCATTTTCTCTAACAAGGGGTTGTACATTTACAGACATGTAGTCATCTCATATTTAGAAATAAAATGCCCAAGTTAACCATATGTTATTTAACAATGATTAAATGAAAATACTGCAAATAATAATATGGCCTGCTATGTATAAAGGCTTCCTGCATCTTCATCTTTAATCTTAGTAATTCAAACTAATTTTTTAAAGAGTGGTTTTCTTTCATCATCGCAAAGATTACATTTTTCAAGGCGAAATCATTACATGTAATCAAACTGCAGGATGACAAGTGCGTGGCAGAAACAAAGCCTGTAAGCAGAAATAGTTGTCATGTTGTTGGTGAATATGATGGCCTATAATTTCCTGCATATCCCTTGTTCGCTTTTGCATGACATTGATCTTCCATGCCCCTAACAATGTGTGTTTATCTTAGCAATAACACAAAGCAACCACCAATTACATGCCTCATCGATTTTAGTGGATGGAGGTTGGAGGGAGCTGGTGGACAAAACATTCATTCCACCAATTTACTGGGGCGTTTTGTTCAGTAAGAAAATGAAAAGGAGCATCAAAATAATACTGTTGATTGGATTTGCGTTGAGCGTGGTCAGGTTGAATAATGATAGTGAACTATGTTGTTTTATTTTTTTACGTTAGTTGCATGTCAAACGATATCTTTGTTTTTTTCTTCTTTTTTTTAAGAACACCACATCTTGCTGTGAAGCGCATGTTTGTGAAATGCAAGACACACCCTGAATCAATTTTCTGCACATTTTTCCTGTAGTTCTTGGATAAAATCAGATATTTCCAGCAACATGACTGGTCAATTGGTCATCATTAACTTCATGCAGACTCTTAAACTGGTACATTTTCATCTATAAATCACTCCTTGGTCTGCTTCCTTCATGTATCTCCTCCTACATGTCACGTTGTCAGTGCAGTTACAACATGCGCTCTCAGGACATCTTTACCTGCAGTGTCCCTCAGTGCTGACTGAACTCAGCAATAAGGTATTTTTTACTCTGCTCCTGTTTCCTGGAACACCTTGCAAAAAAAACAAAAAAAACATGAAGCTGTCCACTTTGACCTCTTTATGGGATTTTAAACAACTGATACATTCAATAGAAAAATCAAAGCAAACATGTCCCTGTTTTTAGAACTTTAGTATTTTATCTTGTTTTATAAGGTATCTTGATTTGATTTTGGTTCATAACACTACTTTTTATTTTTACTTTATTTGCATTTTATTGTTGTTTATTGCTGTCTGTACCTTATCTGTGATTTTGTCCGAGGCAGGTCTCTCTTGTACATGAGTCCTCGTGACTCAATGAGACTAACATGTATAAATAAAAGTTGAATGAATGAAAAAACAAACAAAAAAAAAAACAAGTCACCTACTTTTTGTGAGCCACTAATTCAGCACTTCAAATTTGGAATGTGGCTGTCAACACCTTAGTTTGGAGCCAGAAGTCATCACAAATTATGTGAAGGTGGGGAAAAAAAATCTAATCTTCGTCTTCTTCTTCTGGCTTTCCCCTCTTCAGGGTCTCCACAGTGAGTCATCCTCCTCCATCTCACTCTGTCCTTTTCATCCTCTGTCCTCACTCCAACTACCTCCATGTCCTCTCTAACTGCATCCATATATCTCCTCTTTGTCTTTTTCCTGGCAGCTGCATTTCTAATATCCTTGTAGCATTATACTCACTGTCCCTCCTCTGGACATGTCCAAACCATCTCAGTCTGGTCTCTCTAACTTTATCTCCCAGTTGTTCAACCTCTTCTGTACCTCTGATGATCTCATTCCTAATCTTATCCATCCTTGTCACTCCTAAGGAGAAACTCAACATCTTCATTTCTGCCACTTCCAAT